GTCAGGAGTAGAGGTTTTCAGGAATTTGGAGGTTCTAAAACTGAAAAAAAAGTCTTGAGGTGGCCGAGAGTGGCCTTTTATAGGGGCTCGGGAATTCCAAAGTGAGAATTGGATGTAGGACCAGGAGTGCGATCTCCCCAGGGACTTGGGCATTCTGCAGAGTGAGAAGAGGGGTCTGGGCAGACCAGGAGAGGACTTCTCAAGGGATCTGGAGATTCCAAAAGTGAGAAATGGATTCAGGGCCCAGAGAGGGGTTGCCCAGGAGGAATTAAGGGTTCTCAGGGTGGGGTGTCAGTCGGAGAAGAGGCTGGCGAAAGACTTCCTCAGGCTGCGGATGGTCTCAGCTTTCACCTCGTCCTGGCTAAGGCTGGGCCTGGGCGGGGCTGGCTCTGGAAGGTTGAAGGCATTGGTCAGAGACTGGGATTTGCTAGAGAGAGACAAGGTGGAGGCATGGGAGGAAGGGGGTGGGGAGGAAGGGAGGAAGGGGAGAGAAACACAATGTTACCCCAGGCCCGGCCCAGCCCTGCCCCTCTAGTCCTGGGGCTGTGCCTGTGACCCTCCCACCCACCAGCACAGGCCTGGACCCTGATGGATTCTCAGGTGGAGTGGGGGAGCCCTGGGCCAGACTGGGAGGACTTGGATCCAAGGTGAAGTCTGGGCTTAGTGGGAGGAGTCTTGGGCTGCACCTTCTCCAAATTGTAGACTAGACTGGGAGGATGTAAAGCTGAAGATTGGCAGGGAGCCTCCCAGTCTTCGTGAGGAGGCGGGGAGGGAGTGCGGTGGGGTTTGCACCGAGGACAGGCTAGTGTGGGTGGAGGGCAATCTAAGGGGGAGCATTTGGATGTGGTGGGGAGGACTTCTGAGCTCAGGCTGGGGTGGGGGGAGTCTGGAGTGGACCAGAAGAGGCAGAGAGCACCATGTGATGATTTGGGAGGAGACTGAAATGGCCCAGAAGGGAGGCTAGACTGTAGGAAAAGCATGAGGACAAGCTGGAAAGAGCGGGAAGTGATAGAGCTGGGCTGTGAGTTGGCCAGGAAGAGTCGGGGGGGGGGGGGGGGGGCAAGCTTTGTCAAGGAAGGTTTCAAATCAGAAAGAAAGTTTCGTATTCCCTATTGTTTAGGAAGCATAGGAAGAAAAGTATATACCATTTTCGAGGAAGTCGAGTAAGGATTTTCAAATTTGGAGTCAAATGAAAAAAAAGAATCTGGTAGCGAAGTGCTTTATAAGGGCACAAAGTCGGCGGAATTCAAAGAAGTAATTGTAAACCAGAGTGCGTTCCAGGACTTGAGGCATTCTGAGAGTGAGAAGAGGGTCTGGAGCGACAGGAGAGACTTCTCAAGGGATCTGTAATTATCCAAAAAGTGAGAACATTATCAGGCCCAGAGAGGGGTTGCCAGGAGGAAATTAAGTTCTCAGGGTGTGGGTGTCACGGTCGAGAAGAGCATTGGAAAAGACTTCCAGCTGGATGGTCTCTCAGCTTTCACCTCGTCCTGGCTGGGCTGGCCTGGGCGGGCTGGGGGATTTCTCTGGAAGGTTGCAACAGCATATGTCGAGACTGGGATTTGCAGGAGAGAGACAAAGGTGGAGGCATGGGAGGAGGAGGGGGGGAAGGGGAGGAAGGGAAGGAGGAGAAAACACTGTACCCTCAGGCCCGGCCCAGCCCTGCCCCTCTAGTCCTGGGGCTGTGCGTGACCTCCACCCACCACACGGCGCATGAACCTGGATGATTCTCAGGTGGAGAAGGAGACCTAGGCGCATCTGGGAGACAGACCAAAGTGAAGAATCTGAGCTTAGTGAAGGAATCCTTGGAAGGCTACACCTTCTCAAATTAGCAAACGGCAGAACTGGGAGGATGTAAAAGCTGAAAAATTAACGAACCTCAATCTTAAATGAAAGCGAGGAGAGGAATGCAGTGGGGATTTACACGGGGAGACAAACATGGAAAAATGTGGAGTGAAGGAGGCTTAAATAAGAAGGAGAACATTTAGATGTGGTGGGGAGGACTTCTGAAACTCAGAGCTGGAGTAAGGGGAAGTCTAGATGAACCAAAGAAAACAGAAAAGCCTGTGATGATTTAGGAAGAGAAGACTAAATAGCCCAAAAAGGAGAAACTAGACTGTAAAACTTTTTGAGAGACAACTAAACAGCAGGAAGAGAAATGATAAAAGCAGCTAGGCTGTAAATTGTAAAAAAAGAAAGAAAGAATCCAGAGAAGTTCAACTAGGAGGAATCAG